TATGCATGAGGTTAGAAACTACAACATGGATTCCCATATTAATTATGCATGTTTAGCCAGAAAAAAAAAAAATGATTTCCCCCCCTTGCATCCACTGTTGGATGTCCCAAGACTCCCAGAAAGTTAAAAAAAAAAAAATGTTTAGTCTTCAGGTATTCTAGTAGTAATTTTCAAAGTGTATCACTCGTGATAAGACTCCAAGGGTGCAAAGAGAGCCAGACACCTAAAAACCATTATGAAATGGGCTCAAATAAAGAGAGAAGGTGGTGCTGGAGAGACACTACCTAGGGCTCTGCTCTGACGAGTGTCCACACCCCTCTCCCACCACAAACGGGGTCGTGGACCTCAAAGCTGCTTGGTCAACACTCTCATCAAAGCCAGGACTCCTCAACAGTGTTCTTTGGATCAAATATGGGGCTGACCAAAATACTCTGTGCAGTTTAACAGGCCTTCTCAATGAAGGATATGCTTGGTTTTTGAAATTCCATCTTCAAAAGTTGAACCTTCAATTCCTTCAAACCTCCCTGACATCTGTAACATCTGTCTACAAAATCTTTACTCCGAGGGTTCTGTAAGGTCTCCTCAAGTCACAGTCAAGTTTGCCTTCCCAATTAAATTAGCTAGTAAAGACCAACTTATAAAGAGAAGAGAGTCAACCATTAATTGGGAAGCAAATCACCTAGCAGTAAGTGGTAGACACATTTCCCAATTAAAAATCTGACAAGAATTCACAAACCCAAAGAGCATCTCCCAAACTTCACAGGGCATCACAGTGCTTATTTCCTGTTTAGAAAGGCTTCCTGCTCCAACTTCCCACCAAACACAAGGTGAGCAGGTGTGGGTAGAGGATCGATAGTAAAGCAGGAAAATGCTGTGCGTGGACGTGGGCATGAAACTGTCCAAAGTGTGCATGAGCAGGGAGTCAGGACTCTGTCCATCCAATGAGTTCCGTTTTAAGGGGCCAGTGGGCAAGACTTCAAACCAAAGGCTGCAGTTAGCAGCAGCCGGACAGACAATCCCAAGCCCTGGGCTCAGCGAAGCCCCTCCTCACCGCCTGAGGACCTCTTTGCAAAGCCCGGAGTACACCCTATGAAATACCTGACTGTCCTGACATTTTTCTAGTACTTTTTAAATGGTTAAGAATTTCATGTATGAGTCTCAAGATTCTTTTAAAAAATGCACATCTGCCAAATGTAATACTTTCTTTACAATTATACAGTACCTCATCTTTCAGTTACTTTGATGGACTGCCACACTAGCAAAATAGTCATTATTTAACTACCTGGTATGCTGGTTAGAAACCCTGGTACCTTCGAGAGTTTGAAAAGAGGTTAAGAGTAAGATGAGATTTGGATATAGCATGTCTACTCTACTCTGTCCTTAGGTCATCTGTGTATTCATCTGTACATTTTTTTAATCCAGTGTTAAAAGACAATTAAAATAAATGCTCTTCTAACAAATAGGAATAGCATTTTAAAATATATTAAAAAGCCCTAACTGTTTTGGCTCCATGGTAGAGCATCAGCCTGCGGACTGAAGGCTCCCAGGTTTGATTCTGGTCAAGGGCATGTACCGTGGTTGTGGCCACATCCCTAATAGGAGATGTGCAGGAGGCAGCTGATCGGTGTTTCTAACTCTCTATCCCTCTCCCTTCCTCTCTGTAAAACAATCAATAAAATATATTTTTAAAAATACATAAAAACTTATCAATACACTTATCAATACACATTTTAAATATATTTAAAATATATTTAAAATAAAATATATTTTAAAAAATACATAAAAACTTATCAATACAATAATGTAGTTTAGAAATGACCTTTTTTACATATCTGAACAAGAAAATTGAGGGAGAATTTTTAACATTCACTATTCAAAAAAGAAAACAATTGCTCAGTGATATAAAAAGTTAAAGCTAAACTAAACAAACTTTTCAGAGGACAGAGGACTCATTCACGAACAAGTAATTTACTGTGACAAAATGATAGGGCCAAGGAAACATGAAAGAGAGCTGGCACAGCCAGTTCCATGTATCCTTTAGATGTAGTTGAGATTTTATTAACATGAGCCTAAAATTGTTTTTTCTTTTTGAGGCTTCTTGCCAAAGCAACCAGGAAAGCTACAATCTTTGAGAGTTTGAAGAGAGGTTAAGGGTAAGAGGAGGTAACCAAAGTTTTATACCAGGAATTAGGAATCATGAGGACAATGTTGCAAGAAGGGTAACACAGAGAATACAAATTGAGCAGATAAACAAAGCAGCAACTACAGGGAGGGAAAATTTCTCCAGTTTTACTGAGATATAAATGACATTTAACAATGTATTCATTTGAGGCAGTGGTTGGCTAACTTATTAGTCAACAGAGCCAAATATCAGCAGTACAACGATTGAAATTTCTTTTGGGAGCCAATTTTTTTTTTAACTTAAACTATATAGGTAGGTGCATTGTTATTAACTTAATTAGGGTACTCCTAAACTGGCCTTTGCTAAAAACTCAAGGGGCCAAAGAGTCCAGTGGCTTGCCGACCATTGACTTAAGGTATAAATGTGATCTCTGTGTATGTTGCAAAATTATTACCACAGTATGTTTAGTTAACATCTATCACCTCACAGTTATGTTTTCTTATGATGAGAAATTTTCATATCTACTCTCTTAGCAACTACATTCCCTATTCTGTTCCCTGATGTACTCTCCCCTGACTCTCCCCAACCTGAACACCAAAGTAACACTACCATCCTCCTCTCATTCACTGCCACTGTTTATGAAATTTAAACCACTGGGTAGGTTCAAAAAGCACATCCGGGAGGAAATAAGAATGGAGAGTTAGCAACGCCCTCACTACAATGCCAAAATTGCCCTATGACTCAAAGAGGTGTTGATATATAAACATCAACATTCTGACATCAAAAACATCAGTCTGAAAATGGTCACGTGTAAACATGATCCAGTATCCTTAACCCAGAAAGCCAGCTGTGGACACTCCATTTATATCATGCTGGTAATAGATATAACAAAATAAAAAGTGTTGTTCAAATGGTCTGAGGTGGTCAAAAATAAGGAAGAAAAATGAAAACAAAAGTATGCAACAGAACTCAGAGTAAAAAAAAAAAAAAAATGTACTGGGACTAAATCAGGGTGATCATGAGATGGTAATAAGCATGGACATAAGAAATGGATGGATAAACCACAAAATCACACCCACATCACCAGCATTGGGAAATTTCCCCTACAAAACACAAAGGCAACCAAAAGCAATATATGTTTTTGAATCAGTATCAATAGCAAAGCTTTAGTTTCTTTTTTTAAGCTTTTTTCAAATATAGAACATTAGGGTCAATTTAACTGCATTTAAAAAAAAACCTGATATATAGCATTAAAGAAATGTACAGAATCATAAGTACACCAGTGAGATGGTGCATTTGTATACAGCTGCTAACTTCCCTAATTCCCCACTCCACTTTCATTGGGAAATAATCACTCCTTCCCGGGGATTCCGATTGCATTCCATCTGTCTCTTCTGGTCTCATGTCATGGTTTTTACTTACATATTTTATCCCTCAACTATAGTCTACATCATGTCAAATTAGTCTTTGCAATACTCAAGGCATTCACTCATTCATTCAATAAATATCTCCAAAGTACGTATAAGTGCCTGGCACCATGCTACAGACAGGCAAGAAATATGCACTGCTTAAATGAATGTTGACTGCAAGGCAGAAAAAAGTGAACTAGTCCAAAAAAGAATCCGCATAATTTCCGAGGGGATTCGGATGGGAAGCCACAAATATTCTAATATCGTGAAACAGCTGCACTACCTGTGTATTGTCACAGCAAGAAAACGGTAAACAATACAACAGCATTTCCTCTGCTTGGCCTACCCAAGTATATTAAGTACTTCCATACAGAGAATTATCATCTGAATCCTTTAAAATATTTAGTAATGATGGTTTCTATGTCATAATCTTAAACTAGAGGTCCCTAAATAACACACATGAAATAGGTCTTTATAAGTTCAGGAAAGGCAGGCTGTTTTAAAAGTTTGATCTGTGCGCTCATTCAAGAACTTCTTAAACACCAGACACTTCTGGGCCTGGATTTTAAAAAAGAGCAGGACAGTGCAAGAGCCCTCCAATGACTGACCCGGAAGTTTGCCAAAGGCGGGGTGGGGGGTGAGGACATTCACGTTTTATTTCAAGGGAAATACTCAAGTTGAAATTCAAATGTCAACAAGGTAAAAAAAACGTGTTGCCTTTTATTCTGGTTGTTTTAGTCACTCCCTCTATCATTCATAATTCATAATGGTACTTGAAAGGATTCTCCCAGCCTCAATTTATTTCACTTAAAAAAAAAAAAAAGCCAATAAAAGGCATGCCACTCCCACTCCCACAATATATTGGGGGGGGGGGGGGGGCGGAAGGGAATATGTACAGAGGGTAACTTGACATTTGTTTCATTTCTTTCTTTCCTTCTTAAGGAATAGACCAGGGAAGAGGGCAGAATAAAAAAATCGAAAATGGATGAGCGCCTTCAGACCCACAGCCCTTCCACCGGCTCACTCCAGGCTCCTGCCCGAGAGGCAGTGGCCATTCACAGGTGGTTGGAGGTGTCCAAACTGTGACAACGTTATCCTACACCGAAGTCCCGGGCACGAAGCCCCTTCCTGGGAGCGCTGCAGGGGGAAATCCACCATCAGGTGCAGGACGGGCTACCTGAGCACACCTGGCTCCCTCCACCACGCCCCACGGCGTGCGGGCAGGGCCTGGGCATCCCCCTGGGCAGCTCTGGCCCCAGAAAAAAGACCCAGGCGAGGCTCCTCCCTCAGCCCGGCCCCCGGACTCTGGGGGGTCCGTGGGGACCCTGGGATGGGCTTGGGAGAGGCCAGGAGGGAAGGGGCGGGGAGGGTCGGCAGGGCGGAACCCAGCTCGCCCTTCTCCCTGCCAAGCGGAGGTGGAGCCGCCGCCCGCTGCCTTGTCCCCTGACCCTGCCTCCTGCCTCCCTCACCTGATCACAGAGATGAGCAGCCCCGAGGGGTCTTTGCTTTTGCTGACTGTGCCCCGGTACTTGCCACCGGCTGCCTCTGCCGCCATCTTGGTAACGGGCGGAGAACCGGCGGGCTGCGAGGAGCGAAGGCGGTGAGAACTCTGCAATTGACCTCTCCGGTAGCCCACCAATAGGAGAAGAGCATTTCACAGTTCTTCCCTTTGCCGGAGTGACGGGGCGGGACTTAGCGCGTTTCCAGGCCGACGCGAGTTCTAAGCACTCTGGGAATTGTAGTTTTTCCTTCAGCCGCATCTGTGCTCAGAGGAAGCCAAACCAGGGGATGCTTGGTGAAGTCTCCTAATAAGTGACTTACTTATATTTATTCTGATCTTCAGCTATTTTAATTTCCTTGTTTTTAGAATTATATCAGTTTTTAAGTTAAAATTTATCTGATGATGCCACAATGTGTGTGTGTGTGTGTGTGTGTGTGTGTGTGTGTGTGTGTGTAGGGGATTTAAGTGGGGCAGGGTCTATACCTGATGTCTACATGCACGATTTTACTTCAAACACAGTGGTTTTTTAAAAGCACAGTAAGTTGTGAAAATGAAGAGGCAAATGCATTTCTTTAATATTCTCTAACATTGTTTTACTTTAGTTTTATGTTGAGTTCAATAATATTTCAGTGTCCTGTAGTCCCAGATAATCCTAAAAAAGCATTCACTCGAGAACCCAAAAATGGATATTGATGAAGACCAAGAAATGAAAACCAAAACTGACCAGATTGCAAATTGTTTTTTCTTCCCAAGCTAAATAAAATATGGATAGCAATCATGTCCATGTGTGGTTTATTAATATTTTTACTAGTTAGTCTTCATATTTCCTGCGTTTGATTCTGTTGGTTTAGTTAACAAAGATTAGAGTATATATGGAAAGCAGACAAACAAAAAACAATAGGAAAAATAAATATTGAAAAGTATGGAAAGAGGTGATCTGCTTAGTAGCAGTAAAGATTAAGAATTTAAGAGATGAATAGAAAACTCAGAGGTCTGGAGTTATGAAGTAGCAACTCCAGAACACATTAATTACTTTCTTAAACATATATTGTAGAATATACATATATTAGAGCCCCGATGCATGAAATTCTTACAAGAGTAGGCCTTCCTTCCCCCCACTGCTGGCACCAGCTTTCTTTTGACACCCGAGTCCCAGGCTTCCCTCATAGCGCCAGCTTCATCAGGAAGGTCGTCTGGAAGGATGTCTCTCTAATTAGTATATTATGCTTTTATTATTATAGACTAGAGGCTCAGTGCACGAAATTTGTGCCCAGGGGTATGTGTCCCTCAGCCCAGCCTGCATCGTTTCCAATCTGGGACACCCCAAGGGATGTCTGACTTTCCTCTCACAATCCAGGACTGCTGGTTCCCAACCACTTGCCTACCTGCCTGCTTGCCTAATTGCCACTAACCACTTCTGCCTGCCAGCCTCATCACCCTAACTGCTCCCCTGCTAGCCTGGTCACCCCTAACTGTCCTCCCCTGCAGGCCTGTTTGCCCCCAACTGCCATCCCCTACAGGCCTGGTTCTCTCCCCACTCCACCCCCAACTTTCTTCCCTTACAGACCTTGTCCATCCCAATGAGAGGACGGAATAAATGGTTAATGCATAAAAGAGAAGCTGTAGGCGCGGAAGCAGGAAGAGATATGTTTTTGTTGATTTTAATGGCTACAATCCACTTTGCTGGTGTCCTTGGTTTCTTGCTTATCTGAACTATGCTGGCAGAACATAGTGGATCTTCCTCTGCCCTGTTTTCTTCTCCTTAACCTTTCCGATACACATGAAGACTGAGCCTGGCAAGGGTGGGGTTACTGGGTACTTCTTGGGTGATGGTAGAATATTCAGCAAGGTAACTTTAAGATATATCTTTAATGTTACAACTAGTTTAAAAAGAAATTCTGACTGTTTGCTTCTTAGAAATCATTAAAAGACTGAGGATTCAAAGAATAAAAGTAGAGGGTCTAACGCATGTTTAGGCATTTTTAAAAAGGACATAGAAAGATTTCTATTTCTTTTTTTTTAAATATATTTTATTGATTTTATACAGAGAGGAAGGGAGAGAGATAGAGAGTTAGAAACATCGATGAGAGAGAGTCATCGATCAGCTGCCTCTTGCACATCCCTTATTAGGGATATGCCCGCAACCAAGGTACATGCCCTTGACCGGAATCGAACCCGGGACCCTTCAGTCCCCAAGCCGACCCTCTATCCATTGAGCCAAACCGGTCCCAGCAAGATTTCTATTTCAATAGAAGGGTTAACTCCTGACTCCATCTTGTGCTGCCTCCTCCATTTTGAATAACTATGTCACTATGTAACTGGAGCCTAGCCCTCACCCAACCAATCAGGGTCAGCCAAAGCAGTGACCTCACCACCCCTATAATTCCTAAATTCTAGAGCAGTGTTTCTCAAAGTGTGGTACGCGTAACCCCAGAGGTACAGGAAGAGTTTGGTGGAGGTACATGTTGCACCGGAGTTTGGTGGGGATATGCACTGCACCGTGCTTAGCTGCCCCTAATTCTACGTTCTCATGAGTATGAGGGATACTCAGCGTTATGAAAATTATAGAAGGGGTACACATATGTCAAAAGTTTGGGAAACACTGCTCTAGAGAAACCCATTCTCTCTCTACTATGCCACTACGTTGGTGTACATGGGATTGAGCTTGGGCTAGCCTGAATAAAAAACTCTTTTGCTTTTGCATCTGACTCAGCTACCTGGTGGTCTTTGGGGATCATGAAATCTGGGCATAACACCAACTGCCCTCCCCTGCAGACCTGAGTTCCCCCAACTTTCTTTCCCTGCAGGGCTCCCCCAACTGCTCTCCTTTGCAGTCCTGGGTTCCCCGCCCACCTGCCCTCCCCGGAAGGCCTGGTTGACCCCAACTAGCCCTTCCCTGCAGGCCTGGTCCCCTGCAAATGCCCTCCCCTGCTGGCGTGATGGCCCACAACTGCCCACTCCTGCAGCCATCTTGTGGTTGCCATCTTGTGTCCACCTAGGGGCAACCATCTTTGTGAGTTGAAGTGATGGTCAATTTGCATACTACCTCTTTATTAGATAGGATTGTACTGGTAAAGGTTCACACTGACTTTTGAAAATCAGCTGGGAGTTTTCATTTATTTTCTTTTTATGTAAAACTATTCATAGCCTTTGGCCAAATAATTCCAGTTCTAGGGACTTTGTTCATAAAAAAAAAAAATAATAAAAAATAAAATAAAATAAAATAAAATAGAGATATAAAAAAATGTTGAAAATTTGAAACAACATAGAAATATTAAATAAATTGAAGAATATTCATATAAGAATATAGCAAATAGCCACTGGAAATTATAATTTTAATTTTTACTGAAAAGAAGGTTTTCATGGTATAAGTGCAAAAAAGCAAGTTATAAAGTTAAATAACTCATTAATATAAGGTGGATAGTTGGGCCTAGTAGCTGAGAATACCAACAGTGGGGGGGAGGGGGAATGATCATTATCTTAGTTGACAGAGAAAAAGCTTTTGACAAAATCCAACACACTTTTCATGATAAAACACTCAGAAATTAGCAATAGGAGGGAACTTCTTAAACATGATAAAGGATATTTATTTAAAAACCAAAGCTAACATCATACTCTGGTGAAAACTGAACATTTCCAGCTCCTAAAAAATTAAAAAAAAAAAACTGTTAGAATTAATAAATGAATTCAGCAAGGTTGGATACAATATCAAGAAAAAAAATAGTAGTGTTTTTATATAGTAGAAATAAACAATCCAAAAGGAAATTAACAGAACAATTCTATTTAAAATAACATCAAAGAGATTAAAATACTTAGAAATAAATTTATCCAAGGAAGTGAATGACTTACACACAAAAAACTATAAAACATGCTGAAAAAAACTGAAGGAGACCTAACTAAATGAAAAGACATCCTTTGTTCATGGGTTGGAAGGCTTAATATTTTAAAGATGTCAATACACCCTAAAGCTATCTACAAATTCAATGACATCCTATAAAAATTCCAAAGACCTCTTTTTGCAGGATTGAAAAAATTGATCAGAAAATTCACATGGAACTTTAAGGAGCTTCAAAGAACCAAAACAATCATGAAAAACAACAAATTTGGTGGACTTATGCTTTCTGATTTTGAAACTATCTAAAAAACTACAGTAATCAGAAGGGTGGTATTTGCATAAAGATAAAAATTAGATAAATAGAGTATAATTGAAAGTTCAGAAATAAACCCATAGATCTCACATGCAATGGAATGAATTTGGCCTCTGTCTTAATCCAGTCAAGTTGCTATAACAAATCATATACTGGATAGTTTATAAACAATATAAATTCATTTATTACAGTTTGGGAGCCTGGAAAGTCCAAGGTCTAGGGAACTTTGTAAGGTCACCTTTATTTATTTATTTATTTATTTATTTATTTATTTATTTTAATATATATTTATTGATTTCAGAGAGGAAGGGAGAAGGAGAGACAGAAACATCCATGATAACAGAGAATCATTGATTGGCTGACTCCTGCATGCCCACTTCTGGGGATAAAGCCTCAACCCGAGCATGTGCTCTTGACCAGAATCAAACTTGGGACCCTTCGTTGGCAGATTGACACTCTATCCATCAACCAAACTGGCTAGGGCAAGAACTCCTTTATAAAAACACTAATCCCTAATCTCCTCCCCAGTTCCTAATGCCATTACCTTTGGGGGTTAGAATTCAATATATGAATTTTGGGATGGACACATTCAGATCTCACACCATATACAAAATGTATAATAACTTAAAAGGAATCAAAGGCCTAAATATATGAGATACATTTTTAAAAGAAAACATAGGGGTAAAAGCTTACATCCTTACATTTGGCAATTGATTCTTATATATGACTAGAGGCTCAATGCACGAAATTCATGTACGGGTGGTGGCTGGGAGGGTGTCACTCAGCCTGGCCTGCACCATCTCCAACCTGGGATCCCTCGTGGGATAACCAGCAGTCGGACATCCCTCTCACAATCCAGAACTGCTGGCTCCTAACAGCTCCCCTGCCTGTCTGTTGCCCCTAATG